TTCTTATATACTGTGTACATGTAACCGTAAAACTCAAACTGCTGTTTGGAAAATTCAAACTCTGAAAGAAATAGGCATATATGAGGCCAACACTAACTAATTTTAATTCTAATTTAAATCTAATTAATTAAAAATATTCTAAAATAATGAAAATGGAAGAACATAAAACTTTCTAAGACTTCCCGAGCTGGAACTGAAAAAGTACAACATTATGTGTAACTTACAGAAGAGTAGGCTTTTACAAGATGGAAACAAACAACAGATTTGAACGTGATAAAAAACTACTACTTACTGAGATTGCACTGCATACTGACTTTCCTCCAACCACCAGATGAGGAATCTGATTTAATACGAGTCCAGACAACCAGGTCTTGATTTCCAATGTTGTTTTAGAGGGAATCTCTGCCATTCTTAGAGACAGATTCAGGTTTTACAGCATTCTACTGGTACACTACACCTAAAGCCCGAGAACATCTATCAGATAGTTATTTATTCATGTAAGGTTTTCCAAGAGTTTGGTCTATGTCTGTGCTTTTTTAGAAATCTGAAGCTGATAACTGCATAAAATAATGAGTAAAACATCCAATTTTGTCCATACATTACACATATTCTCTGGATCTTGAATTAGTAGAAAGAAAGGTCATATAAAAAATTATTGGAAATCTTGGAAACTAAAAAAAGGAACTCGATAGTGTCATTTTCAATAACACACCAATAATGATGCACACTGCCCATTTCTGCTTTGAAGATTAAGAGTGTGCATGGCCAGAGGGCATGCAGCTCATGCAAATTTTACTTACACTTTCTCTAAAAGAAACCATAAAGATTTTATCACAAAGTGAAAACCTCTGGGAACAGAGCAAAGAATTGAATTTCCATGTTTGCACCATATTGGTCCGTGCCTTCATTGGTTAGTTGTTTTTTTTTTGCTTCTGTAAAGTCAGACGAAAGTAGGAATTTGCAACAGTAAATGTTTCAGCGGTGTAGCTAAGCAACACAATTTCTTTCGGCAATCACAGAAGCACACGCACAAACAGATTGTTGTTTTCTTTTGGTGAACAAGTGTTGCTCCCCAGAGGGCTCCGCATTGAATCATTCCAAAAACACAGACAATGCCCAGTTGGAGGTTTCTAAGATGGGGGCTCTGGTTTACTTCCCAACACGAAATCTTGCAGAAAGATCGCCTGAAGCTATTGTGTGCCCCTGACTCTCTGAGAAAACACATAAATCTATGTGCGTTCTCTCTCTGTTCCAAAGCTTTGTTAATGTTTACTGAGGATGCCCATTGATTGGAGAAGAAGACACTGGAATCCACAACATGAAATTAAAATGGATAAATTGAAATTGAAATGGATCTTAAAAATGCACGTACCCAAAGCATTTCAGACCACCTATTTGCAGGTCGACAGAATACATTATAGTGGAATATTTGTGACTTAGTGACTAAAACACAAATGCCTTTTCCAAATTTTAATAATTCTTTAATAATATACTTTTGTAGCATTCTGCACAATCTCTCATTGGTGATAGTTTAAGGTCTATGACACTTCTCCTTCTTGTATTAAGCAGTTTTTGTTTTTGCGATGTAGGAGTCTATACAGATTTTAAAGTTATACAATGGAAACATGTCTTACAAAAAACTCCTGCTTGGAATGACTTTTCATTTGTTGTAAAACAATTATAATTGTACTTAAATATACTTCAATGTATAAGTACAGAGTACAGTACTGTATTTGCTCATTCACCTGCATGTTTTCTTTAAGATGCCCCTAAAAAAAAAAGAAAAAAGAAAGAACTGACCTCGTTATTCCACTTGCAGAGCCTGGACAAAGCATACACTGGCCCTTGGTCATATATGCAATGCTACAGTACTAATGATAATGAATGACTGAAATGCAGCCTTGCTTTAAATTTCATCTACTGTAGGTGGATCATCTACAGTAACTGTCAGCAAAGCAGTGAGCTGACAAAGCCCTCTAGTGTTGAATAGCTGTGAAATGCCTGCAATGTGAAAAATCACCCTCCTCCCAAAAAATGATAGGATTCTTAAATCATGCTTAGTCTTTACCTGCTGTGAATAAGATCAGTGCTGAGGAGGAATGAGAGTACAAGTCAGACCTTTCAGTTATGGTAGATCCGCTCTGTTGTATCCCTGTCACTTACCTGCTACCACTGAGAACTGTAACCCTGCAGCTAATTAATGCATGTATTCTGTGTGCATTTGTTTCATGTTTAGAAATGTCTTTTCCTCCAGGGTATGTATTTCCGCATGTCATCTGTGGCGAAAGGCTGATTTGGAATTCTAGGCTTTGTGCTTCACTGTGTGTTGGTCTATGTACTTAAGATACACCTAATTTAAAGCAATATGAGTTACAGTATAAGAGAGGCTTCAACAGCCTTCACATTCTTTATCTCCAATGTTGTGACATAAGAAGGCTTTTAAAACCTGAAAAGTCAAAAACCACACTAGAACTAAAGGATAATAGAGGCATCAGTTACAAAATCTTAATATCCCCTCAGAACAATCGGAATATGAGAATACCACAGCCCCAGTCAAGTCCACTGGATAATATTGCCCCTCTTCTTGGTCTATTTGCTGGGAAGCTGAGAGGTATCCTCTGGATGCTGTCCAGTAAGATGCCCTAAGTACAGTATGTTAGAAGATTCTGTAATAAAATCAACTGGCAAACAACCGTCCAAACAGAGGTTTATAAAACTGGTCAGTTATCTGACAACAGAGGGGTTGTCCGCTTATCCTCACTGATCGCGCATCACAGTTCACAGCATCACAATTGTGTTTTTTGTCTGTGCTGCCAGAATGGAGAAAAATGCAACACCTGATGGCCAAACATAGGTTTAGCATTAAAAAGATTTTCGTACAGTTTTCAGCTCACCAGTAAAATGCTGACTGTAAAAAGGTGTTTAGATGGTGAATACCAGTTTTGTGTTTGCTTTGTGGAATTTATGGAACGTTATGAAATTCATAATGCTGTGTTAACTTCAATGTCTCAGTTTAATAATCTATTTAAGAAATAAACTACAAAGTATCAACAAAGAAATGATCAGTAAATCAAACAGAACATTAATATGCAAAATACAAAATTATAAAAATCATACTCTTGCACTTTCTTACTTTTCTCAGGTTTGTACGTATATGCAGAGGTCAGAAGGATTTCTGCAAGTCTGTGCTGAGATTCACAAATGCTACCAACTGATGTGACATTGCTTTGTTTCTTTGAAGAACATCCTATTGATTGCACTGACCAAAAACAATTTGTCTCAGGAGGTTCACTCACCTTTATTAGTCGCCTATTAAAAATCTCACAGCACAAATGAGTTTGGACCTAAAACTCAAAAATCCCTGCAAGCTCTGTTTACTGAAACTCAATTCGATGCCATCTGCTTATAGGGAAGTCAAGCTGTTGCTTGAAATATACACTGTGTGCAAATATACAGCCATGAAACACTAATAAATACTATACCGTAATTACATAGGACACACTTATGATCATATAAACAGTAAGTATTTTTAATAATGTTTTGTTTCAAAATTTTATTAATATGGTTCCTGGGAGCATAAAGGCCAGTGAGCATGTAGGAGAAAAAAAGCCCTAGAGTATTAAAAGTGACATTTACAGTATAATGTATTTTGGTTAATGCAAAATGAAACATTTATTTCCAGTCTTCATTAAAAACCTGAAGCACTTGTTGTGTTTTTAGTGCCTCTAAGCAGGTATATGATTATAGTTAAAGAACATACTTAAAATACACGTAAAACTAGGACAGAAAACAATGTGATTTACAAAGCATATGAAGTTTAATTCTACTAATTTAATATATCGTTAAATTAATTTTAAAAAGATTTACAGTATATCATGCATTTATAACATAAATAAACATACTAGAAATGTACAAGGTTCGGGGGATTTATTAAGATTCTGGATAAGCACAGATAACTGCTACAAAAATCTTAAGTCACTGGTGCAACAGCAAATTGAATTAAAAAGAAATCCAGATTCTACACTACGTATTGCACCTAGCCAGCACCATAACCAGCGATAAGTCACCTGCGTATTAAATATAATTTGTTCAGATGTAGCACCTATGGGTTATGACTCTTATAGCTAGGTCATATACAGCGCTGGATTTGGTGTGATGGGACTTCTAATTAATGTTTTTTTAAGGAACAGGATAAAACGTCTATCTAGTTGGAACAAGGGATGATTATTATTCAATTTTAAATTTTAAAACATTTTTTACTCATATTTTGTTTGACAAATCTTAGATCTTAAGTTAGAAACCATGTTTTATTAGTCCATATTCAAAAAATGTTTCAAAAGCATACGAAATCTACTATCACTATCAGTTATCGGGGGAAAAAAAGAAGAATACATTTACAGTTTTTACCTTAAGTACAATGATAAGCACCACAGTTTTTTGCATCTTCATGTTTCAATAGGGTTAAGAACAAAAAGCACATTTTATGGACACCAATCCAAAAAACATCTGTCCAAAAGGTGAACCATTAGAGAAATGGAATGTATTATAATCTATTAGAATTAAAATACTTTTACCAGATCCATACAGCAACAAAATAAATTCAACAAGCATCACCTTATCCTACCAATCAACACAGAGCTCAGGAAATACAACACACAGCAAAGCTGCTAAACATCTAGGGTACAAGGTATCATGGGGTACAAAATTTGCCATAACAGGGATACAGGTTTCAAAATAAAGGCACTATCTTCCTTGAACTGTTATCACTAAATATACAGTAACATCTTTTGCCACTGAGATCATAACCAATTCAGAAAACACGAGGCATTAAAGCAATGCATGTACAAAGACGTGTATCAATGGTTATTCTTCAGACAGAGAAAATTAGTTTTCTTTCAAAAGTGACAAATGTATAAGCATTTTGTAGTTATTACTGAGTCAATGCACCTGCATACAAAGTTAATCATATGATGCATGAGACAGATCTGCTTGGTGCCTACCTGTGGTTTGTGCTGTTGTCCATCTTCAAGCTCTGAAACACTGTTCATGATTTTCCATCGATCATTTATCATTCTCTGGAAACCTTAAAAAAATCAGCCTGTTGAGGTCACAGGCAAGGGGGACAGGGGAAAGAGTCTTATTTACTTTCCCACCTTACAGTTATTCCATATACTCAAAAAGACACATACGCACGAGCTACAACTAAGGCTAGCACAGACAGTTTCTAAGCCTCTACAGTAGGTCCGGTAGAAAAAATTAAAACCGTGGACATTGCGATGGCATACGTACTTATACAGTACCACTTCTGCTCCAAGTTATTTATTTTCCTTTTATTGTATTCCCTTTAAAAAGCTTCAGGAAAGTGTCTTCTGATGTGTCCTTTTTGAAGAAAGTCCAGAAACAGCAACACAAAGCTTGCGAGTGAGGAAATAAAGTGGGCAATCCGATAAAATGTAGCTTTGTACCAAAGACCTTTTGTTTCAGTAAGCTTCTCCAAAAACAAAATTCAGTGAGTTGCACAGGAATCACACTTCCTCACCTCCTCTGCTTCCGCACCACCAGACAAATGCAGTTTAAAACACAGACATTCCCTTCATATTAGATTAGGTACTTAAGTTCTCAGTCTCTTAATTACAATACAGCTGCAGGAGGCAGGCTATAGCATTTTGTTGTGCCCTTGTTATACACTGGCAAGCTCCAGCGCTGTGGTGAAAGAATAAATCCTCCTCTTGCTTGTCCTAGCTGAGAAGCTGATCAGCATGAGGAGGTATCTCACACGGATTTTTAAGAGCTGCCTTTGACATGAGCAGTGCTACAGCAGATTAACAAGCTCCAGTCATGTGCGCTCGCCAGCGCTCCTTGCCTCTGAAGCTGTCAATCAGCTGCGGAGAGAGCAGATATCTTCCAGCCTGCACTGCTGCTCCAGCTGCTGCTGCAGTGTGTGCAGACAAAGCCAAAGATTTCAACAATTTTAAGGTGGAGGTGTCTGGGCGTAAGTGTGTGCTTGTGTGCGTGTGTGTGTGTGCGCGCACTGATTCTCTCTCTCTCTCATGCTGCTGTCTGTAAAATCCATGCTGTACTCCCATAAGGCAGAGAGTAAGATTCGATGGAACAACAAACATCCCTTGTCTGTTAAGCTTATAATTTTTAAAGTTTCAAATTTAAGTCTGAATGTAGCTGCTTACTTTACGGGCTGGGGAATCATAATTCAAAATAAAGCTTACATTGAGTGTGATGGACACATGTTTGTTGTTTGTCCTTATGGTACAGACAACAGGGATTCAGTTTTTGTTTTCTGATGGTGTTGCACCCTGAAGAAAACCATTTTAAATTCGAAAGCCATCCTTCTAAAGATTTTCTGTGTCATCCTTCTATTTGAGGAGATTAGTTTCCAATAAAGATAAAGACTTTATCATCAAGAAAGACAAATCATCAAACCAGAAATAAACCCCATTTATTTCTGGTTTGCAAATTTGAAAAAGATACTGTGCTGTGTACTGTATGTTCCTACTACTCACAGATGTAGTTTCTCAAAACTAAGAGACTGCTGTCAGCTTAACCCAGTTCTTAATACAGATCAAAGTGCCCTCAATTTTGGAATGTCACACCAAGAAGGAGCAGCGACATTTACTGCTGGCTAGTATTTTTAAAATTAGGACTAAATTGGTTTTTTTTTCCAAACAGGCTCTGGGCAGTTTTTTTTTTATAAATTAGGGCTAAATTGGAGTTGTCTTCAGAAATCCTAGGACTTATGAAACAATTTGAAATCACAAGTTCACTAGTTATCTCAAAAAAGTATTTTAGTACTTTAAATGAAATGATTTGTTTCATGTAAAAAAGGCAGTAGATCTAGTAATGCCATCATAATACATTTAGTTTACAAGCACAGTTCATAGCACTTCATAAAATGGACCAGTAATCATTTTGTTCAGGAAATATTTTTCAAAGCAGGCAAAAGTTTCTTCATTTAGTTCATTTGGATGAGCCCTGATAGAGACCACAATCATTATTACAGAGCTATTTACAGTAACGTCCTACAGAAATTTGTTTTTGCATAATTAAATTGACAATTATGTTGACACCACGTATTTATTTTTTCTCCGACACTACTGTATATGTTTTATTATGGTTGTACCACAAACCTTTGATACAAAATATTTCTTCTTTTTTGATATAGTAAAGCTGTTACTTTGACAACAAAACCTTTGTATACTTAGTTACCCAGAATATTTTGAACGTAATCATTTAAAAGAATGCAGAACTTTTATAACTTTAAATACAATTATCCTTTTTTCTCAATGACATACACATCCAGCTCCTGCATGACAAATGCACTTTAAGGAGAAGGTCAAATCTGAATACAGGTACAGTATAATTTATTTTCTCTCCTTGAAGCTTCATCCACAACACATAGATGTCACAGTGATAACTTAATAAGGTGTCAGATCCTCGATCTTCCCAGAAAAGAAAACCTCAATACCTCCCACATTTACAACAGAATGGCATGACTTAATACTCTATGCTGATGCTGTAAAGAAGGAATATAGGAGAGTCCCTCGGGGTATATTAATGGATCCCTTCATTGAAATTTGTGAAAAGGCTGCAGTTTCCCCCACTGTAGCACTCAGATGTGCTATCTTCATGCGTGACTCCCTGCCAGGAGTAATACACAGAGCTGTGATGATTTAATATGCTATACAGACCTCTCAGAAATGTCAGGGTCCTAATTTGTAAAGCATTTTGTAAAAAAGTCCAGCTCACTTTCCTTGGGAAGTCAAATGACAAATGACATGTTAGAAAGAACAGAACACTTGCCTGACATACAGTGCAGAGGGCCTGGGAACGGACTGTCTGTTGGACACCAACAAATACTCCATGATCCTGTCACTTCAGTAGCTGTATGACCCTGCAACTCCCAGCTGGCAGCCCACTGAAGCTCAGCAGGTGGGATTCTGGTCAGTACCTGGATGGGTGATCTCATGAGAAAAACTAAGGTTTCTGCTGGTGGTGTTAGTGAGACCAGCAGGGGGCGCTCACCCTGCAGTCTGTGTGGGTCCTAATGCCCCTGTATAGTGATGGGGATACTACACTGTAAAAAAGGTGCCGTCCTCCAGATGAGACGTAAAACTTTAAAAACTGACTCTCCATGGTCATTAAAACTCCCAGGGCATTTCTTGAAAAGAGGAGAGCTCTTAGCCTAGCATTCTGGCCAAATTGTCCCTTGGTCTTTAACAATCACGGCCTCCTAATAATCCCCATCTATGATCATTCATCATCACTCTGTTTTCCTCCCCACTGAGAGCTCGGGTGTGGGGAGTGGACTGTCCCACTCTGGCTGCTGTTACATTATGTAGGTGGGTGAAACACAGTAGTGGTAGAGGGGAGTGCCCATTACCCGTAAAGCGCTTTGAATGGAGTGTCCAGATTAGTAAATTACAGTAGTTAATACTTTATTATTATTATGAAAAATATGAGCATTTGAAAACAGCACAGGGAAACAGAGCTTCTACAAAAACACTAGAATACACAATACCAGATACACAAATATTATCAGAGTACCATTATTTTTAATGTACAGTGTTTGGGGAACCTGGTTGTATTTATATCACATAAAAACCATAGAAGACCAATGCACGAAAAAAATGTTGCCACGAGGATGAAAGTCTCATGAGCAATTAATATTTAAATATTTGTGGAGAAAATTAGGAAGTTCATCTGGAAATCCTCAAATGAAAATTTTAGTTATGAGTTTAATTGGCTTCCAAAACTAATGTATAAAAACAACATTCTCCATAGCTCAAAAGAACATGAAACTGTGTGTGAAATAATAAAATTCAAGGGCAGACCTCACACATCTCAGACATTAACTGCCAAAAATAGCTGCCATTCATTAGTTAAGATACCCTCCTGATAAGATTAACAAGACAAACATAAGAAAAACATGTTTACACAAGGTTACAGCTGACCTCTCCTCAACTGATGCTATGTAATAGACTCACTATAGAAACAGAACAGTAAAAATATCAGTATTATTTAAAATGAGTACTTAAGTCTTTTTTTGTCTTTATTCACCGATCATATTGTTAAAGCCCACCCAGCTATTGTTTTCCACTTTCATTTTGTTGATTTTAGCATAAGAACTCAAGATTCCTAAGTAAATGATCCAAATATCTCAGATGTTGTTTAATCTGAAATCCAGAGAGGATTCTGTAAAAAATGTCTTACCAGGTTGCTATCAGGGAGTTGTCATTCAAAGATTTTTATCATTCTTAACTACTCTTTTATTTTCAAGATGTCTATTTTTGTGGACAGTTGATTTTTAACTGTATGCTGACATACAGTATTCCTTTGGTCTGTCTTTTAAGTTTTCTTGGATGAATGCCATAATTCCAAAAAAAACCTTCCTACTCTGGGGTCCTGGGTTCAATTTCAGGGCTGCTATCTGCATGGTGTTTGTACTGTATATCCTCTTCATGTTTGCATCAAAGAAAAAGGATCTTCTTAGCCCTGGTGTGAGTGTGTGCATGTCCGTGTCTGTGGCGTCCTGTCATGGACTGGCGTCCTGTCCAGGGTGTATCCTGCCCTGTGCCAGTAGCTTGCCAGGATAACAACAATAACATCACTTTATTAACCCTATACAATTTCTTGCATTTAGGAATTTGTCTTTTCGCATACCCCAGCTTGCTCTCCAGGAGAAAGACAGATAGGGAGAGAGCCTGGGGTCAGAGCGCAGGGTCTGCCATTGGACAGCGCCCCTGGAGCAGTTGGGGTTAAGGGCCTAGCTCAGGGGCACAACAGAATAGGATTCCTCTGCCGGCCGCGGGATTTGAACCGGCAACCTTCCAGCCACAGGCGCAGATCCTGAGCCACAGAGCCACTGCTCCGCTGGACAGGCTCCAGCTCCCCAAGGCCCAGAGCTGGATGAAGTGGTTTGAAAAACGGATGGATGGAAGGACAAGAGAAAGGTTACAAATGAGAAGGATCCATGAGATCCACCTTGTTTACCTATCCCTTCCTTAAAGGATCCGACAGTACAAACACAACAATTGTCACATAGTAACCAAGTCAGAACACAATATTCTAAGCAAGGTCTAACTAATTCATTGAATAATTTTTAACATAATTAGATTTTTCTACACTCTTAATATATCCAAGCAGCTTTTTGACCTTTACATTATTCCCACAACTGCTTAATTAAAGAAACTGATGAGTCATCGTAAACACCTTGGTCTTTCTCAAATATTGCTTCCTTGAGTTCAGTAGAACTCCTCTGATCCTTGAATTTAAATTTTTAATTTTCTACATGTATTACTTGCACTCATCCATGTTCAATTTTATTTGCCAGGTGTCTGACCACTCTTGGATTTTGTCAAACTTATCTTGTTTTGTTTGTGGTTTTCTTAAATTATTTGCATCACTACCTACTTAAGTTCTGTATAATCTACAAATTTCACAAGGTTGTGCACTATACCAGAGTCTAGTCGTTGGCATACTGTACATAAGGACAAGCAGCAGTCTACGCACCAGAATTTATGCATGCCTGCTGCACAGAGCTACTTAATTAATAAGGCTTTCAAGTGTATTATATTTTCATTTTTATTTAATGCCATTTAATGTCAGTTTCAACTGATGGTTAACTGCCAGATGTTCCTAGTAGGGTGCCCCCAAGTATTCAGATCTTATACTTGTGATTTGAGAGAAAGATGAAAACATCCCTGTCAGTAGCTTGCAAGAGAACAATAAGGGATACCACAGTTGCTAACAAGACATTTGAACCTACTCAGCTGATCTTTAGGTCTACAGGTTTCTAGCCACGGTTTACACATATAGGACGTTGAAAGAACCTACAGTAGAACTCTAGGGCTATCTGAAAAATGTCCCATCCTTACCCCCCCCACCCGTTCCCAGTTCCAGGGCTGTGGTCTCCTCCACGTGCTGGGCGTCTTTAGTAACATCACATCAGCTCATTTTGATCTCAGGCTCTCTCA